TCTCTCCTCCCTGGGAATACTTTCGATCAATTCATCCAGATCTTTCCAAAATGTATCTTTCTCCTCCTCATCACATCCAACCTGTGGAGAATAACCACTGACAATGTTTAGCATCAGACCTTCTACTTCTACCTTCAGGCACATCACCCTATCTGACACTCTCTTCACCTCTACTACATTCTTTGCCAACTCCTCCTTCAGGATCACCCCATACTCCATTTCTCTTTATATCCACACCATGGTAAAACAGTTTGAACCCTGCTCCAATGCTGCGAGCCTTGCTGCCCTTCCACTTGGTCTCTTGGACACATAAAACATCTACCTTTCTTCTCTGCATCATGTCAGCCAGCTCTCTACCTTTGCCTGACATTGTCCCCACATTTAGATTTTCAACCTTCAGTCCTACATTCTTCACTTTCCTCTTCTCCCTCTGTCTCCTGACTCGTTTCCCTCCTAGTGGTCTTCGACTAACAGTAGCGCAATTTCCCCCGGCACCCTGTTTGTCAATAGCACCGGTGGCTGTTGTTGTTAACCCGGGCCTCGACAGATCTGGTATGGTTTCGCTTTGATTAACTCGCATTAAGGTTTTGGCAAAAGTGTTTTACATCGGATGCCATTCCTGACACAACCCTCACCATTTACCCGGGGTTAGAACCGGCACAAGAGATACAATGGCTTGTGCTCCCTAGTGGCTGTTTTAACTGATGTTTTTCTTTAAATACATGTGAACTCTTGTTAAATAAATATTGACTTAAAAGCCGTTTCCAGTTAATTAAAATGAAATTACCACTACTTATAGACTACTGAAGCTGCTCATCTGGCAATAAAAGCCTTAAAATGAAGTATTGCTCTTATCTTCTGGAAAGCTGGTGTTGTCTTGGCCTCTAGCTGATAAGGCAAGAGTTTATAATCAAGCTGTTATTCATCAGCTGTACTGGTTTTGTAAAGAAAAATAAATTCCCGACACATTAGAGACAGTAACACGTCTGTGAAAAGTCTTAAATAAACACTTGATTTGGTCACATTTCCTCGTCCTCACACACAGACTTACACAAACCCAACAGTTCAGTGCTTGTGCCCAAAGAGAGGCTCATAGAAGATCTTTGTGCTGCGTGCCACAGAAGCGTGCATGGTGTGTGTGTGTTTTGGTTGTTTGTGGAATTTGGAAGGAATTAATGAATGATTTGAAACTAGGAGAAGGCCTACAGCAGCTTTACTCAAAATGTGAGCACATTTTGGGTGCAGAATTTATCCCAAACAACCTACATGTGTAAAAAATCTACTGTTCTCACATAATTTACATTCATTTCAAAAGTATTCATCCAGTTTTGGTAATGTTTCTTTTTTTTTTTTTTTTGCATCACAACCTGGAACTGAATTTGAACAAAAGCAAAACAAACAAAAGAAAAATCCCAAAACACCCCAGATTAGTGACGTTAAATGTGGAAAATCAAATGACATAACCAGTTCTGAAAGCTCCAAAAGTAAACGGCAGTGCAGATCATCAAAGTACAACTTACCAAGAGATATCATGAAGACCAAGGATCTCAGCACATGTCAAAGATGCAGAAAAGTACAGTTCAGAGTTGATTGAAAAAAAAACCCACTATTTCCTGGACATCCCTTGGAGCTCCAATAAATCTAAGGATGCACCACAAGGGTTCTCACCAAAACTCATGGAGCAGGTAAGGAGAGTGCTAATCAGAGAAGGAAGCCAAAGATAAGTCTGGTTGAGCTGTAGCTCTTCTGCAAAGACGAGAGGATCCATCTACAGGACCAAGATGCACGGAGCTGGGATTCCTGGAAGAGATGCCAGGATCAAGCTTTTGTTTGAAGGGAAAAATAATCTGGACTCCAACAATGTTCAGTCAGGTCATCTGGACGGTTTCTTTTTTTTTTTTTTTTTGCTGAGACGTTTCGTCCTTCATCCAAAGAACTTCTTCAGACCGAGGAGTCATAAACTGGAGTCCCATAAATATACTCCCATAGTGGAAGAAACCAGTTTGCTGATGAAAAGATGGTTTCTGGGGCCCACCCTCTCACCTGTCAACTCCTCTGAGGCAGCCATGCCAAAATGGTGCAAACACCAAAAGTTCATGCTCAATAATCCAGGTACAAATCCAACAATATTCCCATAAATGTATTTATGAGACTCCAGTTTGTTTGTGACTCCACGGACTGAAGGAGTCCTTTGGAAGAAGGACGAAACGTCTCAGCAAAAAAAAAAAAAAAAAAAAACTCCAGATGACCTTACTGAGCATTTTTGGATTTTAACCTGGATTATTGAGCATGAACTTTTGGTGAATGATCTGGACTGTTTGGAATTTGTTCGACAAACATGCAGAAGATGGTTAAGGACAAGTATCATCTCTAGCATTGGTTATCATGCTGAGAACACCATCAGTGAAGCATGGTGGTGGAAGCAGCATGCTCTGGGGGTTATTTTCAGAAACACTATGGCCGATTTAAAAAAAGAACAAAAAATAGTTTTTGTCTTTCACCGCTCCATAAAGTATTGACAGTGGGACGTTTGAGCTTTTATCTGCTACAACCAATTTCTCACATTGTTCCCGAAAATGATTATTTGCAATCAAATATGTGAAACTATTTTCATTCTTCTCTGAATATTTACACCATGACCTCTGATTTATATAATGCTGAAACTCTAAATGTTTATGGGGTTGTGTATATAGCACCGATCTGCACATGCTGATGTGTCAACAATTGTACAGCCAAAAAAACATCAGACCTGCTGTTTTGCTCGCTAATATTAACTATTATTTGCTGGAGATAGTTTATCTTTTTAATCTACAGTATGTTATTGGTGTTTATGATATGTTTGGAAAATTCAAGAGCAAATACGGAAACTAGTCGGTGGTTAAATGTGGTGCAATAAATCTATTTTTTATGAGGAAAAATAAAAATAGCTAAACATTTTTATGGTTTTATTTTTATGCTGACGTTTCCAACACATCAGCCACGTTTTAAAGCAATTACTCATATATTTTCATTAGTACAACTTAACACATATCAATGTCACCCTTGCAGTAATAATTTGATACCATAGTGATAACAGATTCACAGGAGAGTCAGAGCTCTGAGCTGCAGATGAAAATATAAATAAGATGGGTGCACACTGGGACTCTAACTCACTTGGGTGTTTTTATTTATTAATATTAATTACTGACAAAATAAGGTTTAGCTCATGTTTCTGGTTGTGTGCTGTATCTTTTTTCCACTGACTAAACTGACAAATGATCATATAACAAGCAGTCTAAGATAAGAAACAAACAGATTTTTAAGATATAGCTGCATCACATGTAAACAAACAAACATAGAATGCATATTTTCACATCCAGTATACATACATACATAAATACATATATATATATATATATATATATATATATATATATATATATATATACACACACATACATGTATGTACAGGGGATGGTGTTGGATCAAGTCTGGTTGTAGTTTAGTTTTGGCTATTAAGAAATCTCTGTGGTTCATCCGACTGTGATCCCAATCCATACTTACTCAGAGACATCAGTAAAAGGAAATAATTTAAATATAGAGCGAGAGAGAGATTTCTCATATACGTTGTTATGGATTTTGGAAGATAATGGTGGACTCAAGAATTAAAGTCGATTGTCTTCGGTGGCATTTATTTCAAAATAAATTAAAAAAAGGACAAAACAAGAAAACACAACTGCAGATTGCTTATTCCTGTGATTACAGGAATCTGAAGAAGAAATTACCAAAACATTGATTCTATATAGCCTACATCCCTGATTCACCTAAACCCCAATCCACAGGTTCCAGGCGTCCACCGGGCTGGAGCCTGATGTGTCTCAGGACCCACTGAAGTTTGCCCCACTGGAGTCACAGCAATTCACAAAACATTATATGCAAGAACAACAAAGTCCATGCTCAATAATCCAGGTATAAAATCCAACATTTTTCAGTCAGGTCATCTGGACAGTTTCTTTTCACAAGCAGAACTGGTTCGTTCCACTTTGGAGTAAGCTGTTGGAGGAAGAATCAGTTTTGTTGTGTGTTTCCTTGACTGATGAAGCCTTCTGGATCTAAGGCGAAACGTTTCAGCACAAAAAAAGAAACTGTCCAGATGACCTGACTGAAAAATGTTGGATTATCTGCAAGAAATCACAGCACCAAATGTCCTTAAACACAGACAAACAGATTACATGACACAGATTAGATCATGTGTAAAGATCTGCAAGTCATTTCTGTACATTTATGGCAAATCATACGGTGCAACTTCTCTAGTATTTTTGGTAATTCCCTTGTCTGGCTAAGTTTTCCTCTGCTTCATTCTGTTGGGAAAAGAATGTTTTAGGATTAAAATAAATATATCCCAGATAATAAAAGCCATAACAAGAGTTTATTGTTTGAAGCGGCTGGAAATGTCTCCACTAAATGCACAAAGACTTTTTCAAAACCTTGTACGAAATTTGCAATAAATAAAATCCATGTGACACAATCACTCTCTCACCTCTCTGGACTGAAAGCTGATGATTTGGAGCGTTTAAATCACACAATCCCCTTTTATCCTCATGTAGGAACTTATTTACAATTTAAACATGCACAGTTTCACATTCAGGGGGTTATTATTATTATTTATTAATATTTTGCTTTCAGTTTCTGTTCAGTGTTGCATGAACAGAGCTGACTTTGACTCATGTTGGTTTCAAATAAGAATAAAGCAGTTAACGTGTGCTTTTTTTTTTAATATAAATAAAAGTACAAAGACAAGTGGATGTGCACGAATGACAGCAGCAGAATTAAGCTCCTATTAGAGAACGCACACACATGAACACGCGCGCACCAGAGGTCCCAGTTGCGTGTAATCGGATTAGGTGAGTGTGGGTCAACAGGGATCTCTCCGCCCTGCGTGGGACAGTCCTGCAGCTCCACGTGCACTTGATTTAACTTCTCCTCAAACCACTTGTATTTTCATCAGTCTGACTCGGAGCAGCACTTTTTGACACGTGGTCACAGAGGATCAACTTGGACCGACGCGCACACGGAGTTCGCTCGAGTTTTGGTGCGTCCGTTTGCTTTGTGTTATGCGCGCGCGCCGTGCGCCAGGCGGCTCTCCCCGTGGGCTCCGGGGTTAGATGGTGCTGATCACGGACGACAGGGATGGAGGAGGCGCGTCGTCGCTCCGCGTCCAACAACTGCAGCAGCAGAAGAAAGTCCACCCGGCCATAACCGAGGAGCCGCTGTCCCACTATGACGAGGACTCCCCGTGCTCGTGCGAGGAGGAGGAGGACGGGGACGAGGAGGAGGACAGCGATGAGTTCGAGGAGGTGGACTTTGAGGACTTGGATGACTGTAGGAGCATCGCGTCCGACGACTCCTTCTACCCACCGGATGATGCGTTCGCGGACTCGGAGCGCAGTCCGACTCCGGAGAGCCCGGAGCCGCTGAGCTTCTTCAGGGCGTGCTGCAGCAACAACGCGGCCATCGTCCGGATCCTGATCCGGCACGGCGTCAAGGAGGAGGAGGTGAAGGAGACCGACAGGAACAACAGGGTAAGGAGGACAAGTTCAGGAAAGTTGGTGCTCACGCGATGTTTTCTGAAGGCTGTGGGGCCACATATAGTCCCCATATTATAATTTATAAAGATACTATGACATGAAACATAAATCATCATTTAATCTCCTGAACTATGAAACAGTGCAGTTCAATAGAGCTCACTCCAGCAGTTTTCCACATGTATTCATATTCTGAAATGCAGGTCCACACTCAACGTAAACAAAGCTCCTATAGTTGAATCCACCGAAAAGCACATGGACGCTCGAGTTTGGACCAGGCCGGACGAAGTCTGTGCAGGAGGTTAATAAATATGTTGAATATGTCAGAGAAGACATTTATAAATGTGGAAGAACTCGGCATTCATGTTGCTTCTGCGAAACTTCGTCTGGACCATGAATTTACCATTTCAACCTATTTTTTTATTTTTATTTCCATACTTTACTCATCAGATCCGAGCATGGATAAAGTGTGAATGCATCAAAATGGTTAGATGTGTTCTTTCAGTGATACGTCACCTTATTTCAGTCTTTATGGCTGGTTAACAAATGCACGTTATTTCACTTACAAATAATTTTAGGGCAAACAATGAGAAAACATTACATGGATTTTTAGTACTTCTTGGGTTGTTGTTGCGGCTTTTCGTGACTTTAAATGCATAAAAACAACAGCGAAGCAACAAAATTACATTAATTATAGTTTCGTTTGTTCTAGGTAAAAAGTGAATTTAAAAAACTTCCAACAATTTTACACCCCCTACTTTGCAAACGATATGTTTGCAGTTATAATGAGTTACCTTTATTTTAAACATTTTGAGGTTTAAGACAGTTTATTTAGCAGCTGAAGGAGCAGGAATCCCTTGTGTAGACTAATAGGAGCTCTAACTGTCTCGTGTTTCTGTGACACATCTTCAGCCAGACAAGCTGACCCGACGGTACAACGTGTAATTAGGCAGCACCACATTCAGAAGGTGTTGAGATAATGAAGCTTCCTCTTTAAGCTCTCTTCACTGGTTTACTTCCTTCCTTGCCTTTGAGAAGAAAATGACCTCTGCTGTATTCAGCATGTGGAACTCGACGACTTCCATGAACGTGAGGATGGAAATGTCACTTTTATCTATTTGAATGTATTTAAAACAGGGACAGTCCATGAAAATGACATAAAAACAGTGCAGCTATTGTTTTGCACACAGAGGCCTTCGTGTCAAGGACTAATTTACAGATCTAGTCTCTGGCTGGACTTTTTACATAAAAAAAAATCATTTAAAAATATGAGCAACTGAAAGAGATCATTTGGTGCAATTCCATGACAAAAGAAAGTGACTGGGGGGGCTGTCCTATCATTCACCTGTTCAGGAAGTCTGCAGCCTGTTGTAGTCTCTGCAGGTAACATCACCTGGATACACTTTAATCTGCATCAGCAGTAAAGTTGCATTTGGGCCCAAACAAATCCCACCCGACCCGGCCCTAGCCCGTAGCCATCATTTCCAAACCCAACCTGACCCAAACCTGAACACACCCCCCGACATTTTTAATTAAGCTTTGACTGCTTATATAATTATTAACGGTCAGCCGATACGCACGGCTGAATAAAAGGGGCAGAAGATCGGACCTGAGGAGGTGTTTGTCCTTTCATGGCCGTCAAAGTGCATTAAATCCTTGCATTCTGCATTATTCAGACATGGACCCTGCTCTGACATGTCTGCTTTGGGATCTCACCTGCTTGGATCGTCGGCCGCTCGTGTCCGTTGAGTGCAGCGGCTGAACTTCCATTTGGGCGATGGATCGCTTCCTGGCAGTAGCCTATCGGTAGTCCCATCTGAAGCTTAACTGAACTTTATTTTACCTCGTTCAAGGCCGGTCAGCTCGTGGTGAAATGGCCAAGTGCAGCTGGTGAAGGTATGGCAAGCCATGTTGCCATATAATTGGATCGCGGCTGATCCGCTGACGCAATCGAAAGCCCGACATGGACAAAGCCTGTCCATCCAGCACATTATCATTGCCTGTCCCAACCCAAATTTGGGTCAGGCCGGGCCTGGCTTCGGGGCTGGGTTAGAAATGGCAGCTCTAATCAGCAGAGGTCCTAAAATGGAACCTTGTGGGACACCCATTCTGCAGACGTTCATCTCATTACCACTGGCATACTGATCAGTGTGCTTTAAAAACAAATATGCGAAGTGGTGGCGCAGAGGTTAGAGAAGACGAGTTTGTGATTAGAAGGTGGTCGGTTTGATTCCCCAGACCAACGTCATCAAAATGTGTGTGGGAAAGGTGAAGCACCCACACCTGTCTCCACCCTCATTTTCAAGGCCCCTAACCCCCACCATCTGCTCCCCTGGGCTCTCTAGATAGCAGCTCCCTGCTTCACACAGAGGGCTGTGGTAGCTCAGTGGTCTGTGGTTGTGTCAGGAAGGACATCCGGCGTAAAAACAGTCAATTCTTCGTGCGAGTTAGTTCGCTGCGTCGACCCCTGAAGAAGGGAGCAGCCGAAAGAAGAAGAAAAATTGCTTTAAAAACAAACAGAACCAGTTAATATATTTTCTCGAAGAAAAAACAACTTTTTTAAATTTAGTAAAAATAAATAAAATAAAAAAATAATAAAAATTGAATAAAAATAAATCCCATGATTCCACTTTAGTTGGCAAACACCATCAAACTGGGTCTTATGGCGGACATCTTTGCTGTTCCCTCCATCTTTGCATTTAAATTAGTTACTATCTCATATTTCACTGTATCAAATTCCTTTGTTAAGTCTAAGATTACAGCTCCAGCTACACTGCCCAAAAGGATTTTGATGAGGCATGCATTATAATGTTGTGAATTTCACAATACAGTACTTTTCTTCCTCTTATCAGGCTAAATAGGGACGTTGCATTTTCAGGGGTTTTTTAAACACAAAAAGACCAAAATAAATACATCAAATTAACTTATGGTGTATGTCTATTTATCATATGTACTGTATCAAAAATAATCTTTGCATTGGCTTGCAGTTGTGCAACTTCAGCCACACAACAAATTGTATCTATATTTTTAAAACAGTATTTTCTTGTTCCAGTCAAATTAGATAAAAAAAAAAGTACTTTTTACAAATCAAAATGCTTAAGTTGGGACCAGTCAGCAACTTTGTAAAGAAAGAGATGGACCAACAATATCTGCTTCTAATTGTATAAACTGTAGCATTGGTCTGGCTGATTACACACAGATCCTCTGTTTTTAAAAATCAGGAAACTTTCCAGGCAATATTAAGTCTCCTTTCTGCTTAGCGTAAGTCTAACGTAAACCATGATGGTATGGCTTATGTTAGTTTAAGCCATCAGATTGTCATCATCAGTGCTGGTAAGAATAAATCCCAGGATCCCACTTTAGCAGGCAAACACCATCAAACTAAGTATTTTATTGTAGCAGGTTGACATCTTTGCACAGTTTGCTTTTCCCTCCATCTTTGCATTTAAATTAGTAACGAGAACATAAGATGGGATCAAAGCTTCGTTCAAGTGAATCAAAATGTCATTTCTGGGGGTTCTTTAGGGGTCAGTGTGTCAATTTCAAAGTTTATGTCAGAGAACAAGTTATATATAATATAAGAGAATTACCATATTTACTGCCCTATAAGTCGCATCAGTCCAAATATGTCTAATAAAGTGGAAAAAAGCATAAATACATCACATTTATTATGCATCACCGCTGACAACCCAGAAATTTGTGCCAGTGTTGTGCCAAAAATCGATTGGATGCCAAATGGCGGTTGCGGGAGCGTGCACGGAAGGACTTTACCAAGAATTTAACAAGATTAACACTTAAAAACAATTATTTGTTTGCTCAAAATGGTAGCAAAGGTGTGTCTCAGTTGAACTTCTCCTTAGTAAATGCACTTTGATGGTCAAATCAGTTGTATTTCAAAAGCCGATTCACGGCTGCAGGAGCACGCTCGCTGTGCGTTTCTTCAAAATTTAACAAGATAACCACCTCAAAACAATTATTTGTTTGCTTGATATTATAGCAAAGGTGTGTGTCAGTTGAACTTTTTCTTAATAAATCAACTTTAATAGTCAAATCTGCTGCATTTCGCCTGGGCAGCGCGGCGAAGCGCAGCTGATTTGACGTTTGCTCCAGGAGTTACGGCGCGAAACAAAGGTGGCATAATATGGCAAGCCAAGTGTCTCACTAATAGCCACTTTTACCTATTAATGAGACACTTGGCTTGCCATATTAGTCGATGGCCCTCTAGTGGCTGAAAATGGTAGTGCTCAATATTGTCTATGTCCGAATGAATGAAATCCTCAGATCTCAGCCAAAAATTGGGGAATA